CAGGATTGTCATTCGTTTATCAAACACTTCAAAATAAGATTAGACGTGTTTTTACTGTTTATGGAAGATAGGTAGAATTCCCATAATAACCTTTTTAAGGTGCTGGTTTAAAGCGTGTCCCCTTGGTGGTGAGAACTGGAGGGCCTGGCTGCGTTCTCAGGGAAGACACCCCCGCTTAGCCGGCCCGGGACTCTGCCCTCCGCCCCAAGCATGGGGACTGGCGTCTCTGGCTGTCTCGGGTGGGCCTGGCCTCCCTCCCAAGTGCACGTGTCCCGTTCGTTGCCCTCGTCCAGGTTCTGTCCCCTCAGACTGTCTCCCATGAAGTCTTTCCTCGCCGCCTGCTTTCTAGACCTCCGTGCGCATTCTCGCTTCAGGCCTCGCGTGCCACAGGCCTGCGCCACCGGGTTACGCTTAGCCTGCGGCGACGCGCTCCCCGCCCGACGGGGTCAGCAGTGGCTCGTGTGCCCGTTTCTGAGCCCAGCACGTGCTCCCTCTGCTGTGCTCGCTCTCCTGCACGGTCACCAACAGTGGCAGTGGCTCGTGTGCCCGTTACAGATCGCCTCTACTTTAGAAAAGTTCGGCTTTTCTCTCTGTCGCCCTGAGGCCATGTAATCACGCAGAAAATAAAACCTATCACGTCAGTCGATTAAGGATGAATATTTCTGTGAGGGAAAATACACAGGAGTAAAATCCAAAGACGGCGGCAGCTGACAGACGGCCCAGGGGCGGCGCGGCCGCAGCGGGAACGAACTGCGGCTTCTTGTGGTTCTTGTGGCCGCCGGGCTCCGGCAGCTCCGGCCCCAGTGAGGCCGTTAGCGAGCGGGCAGCAGGTGCTGTCCTCGTCCTCCCTTTTCTGGCGTATGTCCTTATGAGGTGGGTGTCGATCGGGCCCCCCGGGTCCCCGCTCGCTCGCGGGTCATCTGATCCTGCCATCGGGGTCAGCGCTGCTGTGGGCGATGTCCGCTGGCGGAGGCGAGGCAGGGCGGGTTGTTATGACCGACTTTAACAGCCCAGCTTCTGAGTGGGCGGTGCGCCGCGATGAATCCTGTGCTTAAGGGTGACATTCTGTTTACGCATTGTGTGCGATTCCAGGTACCTTTTTTCTATTAATATTTTCTTACGTGAAAATAATACGTATTTGAAGGGGGAGATGGCAGGAAACCCAAAAGAAGGGAAGACCCAAAAGCGCATCTGTCCCAGTGCAACCACAGTGAACGGTTTGGACGTTTTCCTTAAAATTTTTTTTTTTTTTTTTTTGATAATGTCTAGACAGGAGTATATATGTGACTTTACTTTCAAAAAATGCAATCATTCATATAGATATTGCTTTCTTTATATCCTGCTTTGTTTTGCTTAATAATATATCGTGGACATCTTCACACGTCAGTATACACACCTATAATTTTTTTTAAAAGCCAGCATAGTGCTCATTGATATGGACACAATAATTTATCAACCCAGTTTTCTATTGTTGGATATAATGAGCAAAATCCAACAGCGTGTGTGTGTGTGTGTGTGTGTGCGCATGCTTGTGTGTGTGCGTGTGGGGGGGGCAGGCTCTAAACTGGACAGCACTGTGGGAGCCGGTGAGGGGCCAGCACGTGGACTCCCACAGGGCAGCACAGTGACGTTGTCGCCTGCCACTTCTGCCCCACCGGGCCTGGCCGCCCAGGCCCAGAGCAGGCGGGACTCAGTTTCTCCAGAGACCATGCCTCGTGACATGCGCGTGTGTGATGGCTCTCCCTGTCACCTGAGCACATCAGTGTATGCTCGGGCTCCCCCGGAAGGGTTAGTTAGAAAAAAGTCACCCGTGATTGGCATACCTCGCCCTGTGGTCCTTGACTATCGTGGAGTAGATTTGCTCATGCAGTGTGAAATGTGCCCCGACTAAAATAGTTGTTACAAATACAGACGCAAGAGCTTCGTTAAATATCGAGGAAGGTTTTGCTGTCGCTTATGCTTTGCCTTTGGTGGTGGGACCTCCGGAATGTCATTCAGCTTTTCTCTGATGATCCTCTTACCGTCTATATTTGGATGCCTGACCACGGGGACTTGGCTGATGTGGCTTCACTGCCAGCAGCTCTGGGCTGTGATCCTCCCTGGGCCTTCATTTCGTCATCCCTCCCAGGGGACGAGAGCACCTGCCTAACAGACTGTGGAGAGCGGGGGAATGACGCGAACCCCGCAGCGCCGCGTCCGCTTTGGGGGAGAGCCGCGTGAACCGGGAGTCCTGCCCTCAGTGTTAGTGCCCCGTCCTGCCCTCGGCTGTGCACCAGTACTCGGGAGTAGGTACAGTGTCCCCCCGATGACTGCTTACTGATGAAAGTGTCGAGGGGACACTGTGGACAGTTAAGCGAAGGCAGAACTGGCGTCGGGGGTCCGCATGTTCACGGATCAGAAATAGAACCAAGAGGGCGAGGTGAGAAGCGATATGTGATTAAACAATGTGACAGCGGACACATGGTGCATGCCGTGTGCGGGGCGCCGCCCCGCTGCTCCGAAGCGTCCTCACAGCGACCCTGCTGGTGGCGCTGTCCCTGTCACCTGTCTGATGGACCGGGGAGCGGGCACACCGGCTGCCGCCCCGCTGCCCACGCCGCACCCCGTGCACACGGCCGCTGCTGCAGGTGCGGCTTCAGCAGCTCTTAGGTTACTTAAGCGACAGGTAGAACTTGGGGAAAATTAAAACAGAAATAGTGAAACATAAGCTTTCCTATCATTTTTTCCCAGTTTTCATCAAAGCCAATTCTCTCCTAAAAGTCCATAAAAAATACAATTTTCGACGACCGAAATGCTGCGTGTTGCTAAGTGCTACACCAGAGTAAAGAAGAGCAATTGCGGGGCGTACGTCCCAAAAAGGGACGTGCGTGGTGTCAGAAGACTAGGGGCGTCGTAAGGACGGGCTCGAAGGTGCCATCGGGCCGGGGGACACGCGCGTCGCCCCTTCTCCAGAACTCAGCTTTGTATACGTTTGAACTCGAGATGAAAGGTCTCGCCTCCTGCTTGCACACCCACCTAGGGACCGTTGTCGGCCCTTAAGTCTCTTAGGAGTATTCCTTGTTCTCCAAGGAATTCATGGATGCTAATACTCTCACCTCTCCACAGAGCCACCTACAAAACAGGAACTTTCCAGGTTCCAGGTCCTTCTGATCTCGGGCCAAGTCCTAGCCTCACGCTTGTGCTACCCGAGCTGACAGCGGACGGCATGCCTTTTTAAACAAGCACGCCTCAGGAACTGTGGTTATTTAAGGGTGCATAGCTCTTCCACCTGAAGCAGCTGTAACATGTTAAAATGTGGCACAGATCAGGAAGGCAGGCAGTACCAGAGAGGAAACCAGAAGCACATCACAGAGGAAAGGGGGTGCATCTCCGCACTCTGTCCTGGCCATGTCGCAGTCAGTGACAGGGCACGTGTGTGCTGGCTCAGGCATGAGGGATGGCGGGGATTCGGTGCCCGCGAGTGCCCGGCGCCCCGCCACAGCGAGCCAGGCACAGGCATCTCCACCCTTGTGGACTCACGGTCTGGTGGGAACAGCAGTGTCAGTGTGACAAGGGGGTACGCTTGAGAACGGGGAATTGGGGGTCTCGTGAACATGATCGGGGGTCTGATGGTGGTCAGCATTTGGGGATCCCTAGGTGGGTGGGTACCTACGGAGTCCAGCTTTCTGTTCCTGGGCCGGCGACAGAATTACGGGCTGTTCATGAAAAGTAACACCGGCCTGCTGGTTTACCTCGACGACAGGTGGTTGTGATGGGCTCGGAAACTAACACGCTCTCACTGCAGCTCGACACCCCGAACCACCGGGTTCCATCTTTATGTTAACTTCCTTTTTTGGCTAAAGAAACTGTACTTTACTTTTAAACTTTTTTTTGCCTCATTTTTGTTGTTATTTTATATAACCATGAGTCTTAAAATAAAAAATAAAATATTTTTGCTTTTCGTTAGAATTTCTCTGCAAAGAATGTCCAAAAATCCATATTCACATTGATCGTATAGACAAAAAAGACGTACCAGAAGAACGAGTATGTCTGAGAAGATGGCTCCACGAACGTTTTGAAATAAAAGATAAGTGAGTAACATTTCTAGCACTACAAAAACGCTGGTTCAACTAAATTTCACTGTAGTGAACAATTTGAAACACACGTAAACAGTTTTATTATGTTAAGAGTGCTGTTTATAAAGCCAAGTCGGAGCTTGTTCCAGGCACGATCTGTGCCTGTCCTAACCTGTACTGATCCACGCCACTGGGGGAGAACTTGGTAAGGGGGGCTCATCCGTTTTCATTTACAGTATTTCCGAGACAGTGCTCTGTGGTAAGATACAAAATTCAAAAAAAAAAAAAAAAAAGGGCACACAGAGAGGCGCCGCGCGTGCCCAGACCTGCCCTCCCCGCGCCCACCGGCCTGCGGTCAGGCCCACGGTGCACGGATGGAGAGGCTGTGGGCAGGGGGATGGCGTCCGCTGTCAGACGTTTTCCTCACCAGAGTGTCTCGTTGTCGCTAACGGTATTTCTGTAAGTGACATTTTGGGGCATAAACAGTGTCTGGGAGGGACCTTGTGTTGGTCCATGCCGATAACATCACTTCGGAGCAGACAGCTCCGAAGTTGAACGTGGCCGGGATTTACCTGGACGGAAGTTGCAGGTGAGGCGTAGCTTAAGGGGGCCAGACCGAGGGAGCGCGATGTGCCCGCCACTTAGTGAGGAGCGGGCCCCGCAGCAGCAGGTGATATCGGTCGAGCGCGTTAGTAGCTCTTTGATTTCATACGAATTTCTAAAGTTTGAAATTTTAGAATTGTCTTTTCTTTGTAGAAAGATAAAAAGTGTGTCTTAGGTTTAGAGATGATATTTTAAAAATTGAATTTTCTTGGATGAAAACTTTAGAGTGTATTATTTATTTACTGTCTGTTTTGCTGTTAGTGGAGGTTTTATCCTTTCTGATGCATAGCCTGTTTTTTTAAAGATATATTTTAAATACACTTTTTTCTTCTTTTTGAAAAAAATGAATCCATCTGTTTGTTTTAGGATGGATGTACCATTTATTAAGACCACATTGAAAAGTATGGTTTTTTAAAAAGACTTTTAAAAATACTTCCAAAGTTACGCTTATGTTCAGAAATTTTACCCGTGTTTTATGCTAATGCGCTCCTTCTCGGGGGGCCGCTGACACCCACCCTTCCTGGTCAGAGCACAGCAAAGTATTTGCTAAGCAACCCCCTGGGTTAACACCACCAGGTGGAAATTATTAAAAATACACTGACCCAGTGTGTGAAACATTATAAAGTTTATAAACAAGTAGCTAAATTTCTATATTTCATTGACTCTCAATTGTACATGACTTAATTCATGAAACCAACCGTTCAGTGCCACCCACTTTGGTTATGGAAGAAATTTTAGAAGTCAGACCTGTGTGTTTTGACATGATAATCAGTCTCAGAAAAACCTGAACGGTATGTTCGCTATCCAGTGGATTTCGTGCTGTGGGTGTTTCTATGTAGTGAGGTGGAGCCTGGACGTCTGAAAACAGGTCGTCTCCAGGGCGTGTGATTCACGAGCAACGCGAGGACTTTCCCTTGTAGTCCTTTGGTGTCCGAGATTTCTACATGGAGTACACTCTGCTACTAAAACTTCACATTTTAAAAATAAGACGGGGAATGAATTTACGATGCTAGTTTTTCCTCCTTTGGCTGCTTTTATAATTCCATGGGGTGAGGGTTTGTTTGCACACTGCGTATGTTGTACAAACTGCTGACCTCTGACTTCTGATGGAATGGGGGCTGTAGGAAGGAGCGAAGATTGGGGAAGGTGGAGAAAAAGCTGAGATGCCTTGTTACCCAGGTGTGACTCAGGCCGTCACAAAATTTTAAAGACCTAAAATTTATAAAACAGAAGCATCCCCATAAAAATGACTTGAAAACATCTGTTTTTTAAATATTGCATATAATTTGCATACACTAATCATCGAGCGTAGTAAAGACATTTTAAAAGTCTGGAAACTACGATTAAACCAAGTCTCCGGGCGTTTCCTTTTTCATCTGTTTCCCAAGGACCTGCCACTCGTCCCGGACGTAAGAGGCACCTGGTAGATACTGGCTGGATTAAAATATTGAAAAGACTAAAGCTGAAACTTAAAAAAACTCTCTCCGTTCTGGCCACAGGTTGCTTATAGAATTCTATGATTCACTGGATCCCGAAAGAAGAAACAGATTTCCTGGGAAAAGTGTTAATTCTAAACTAAGTCTCAAGAAAACTTTGCCGTCCTTGCTGCTCCTCGGCGGCCTGACCGCCGGCATGCTCATGACCGAGGTGGGCCGGAGACTCTACGTGAAGACGTGGGTGTGCGGGACGCTGGTCGGCTGCCTGTGGGTCGGCATCAAGGCGTAAGCGGGCCGCGGTCTCACTGCTGGTGCTGCGCGTGCATCAGGTTGTGTCCTGAGTTAATGAGAAGTGTAAATAAAGCCTTGTTGGTTGAACATTGGAGAACACTGAATTTCTGACGAAAGGCGACACGCGCTTGGTCTTGGGCGGACGCGCACGGTGGCACCGCCTTAGCGCTGCAGCCGCCGGAGAGGGAAGCGCTGAGCAGTTCGTGCCGCGCGCTAGCGTTGACTTCGGAAGACCTTAGGATCGTGCGATTTGCTCTTGCTTTGTGTCATTTGCTATTGTTTTTGTAATTCAGGTAGCTGCGTTCAAGAACATTCATTTGCAATACATGTCACCATATTTGTCATTTTTGGTTTTTTATAACTCGACTGCTCCAGACTTACCACTAAAGTGTTTAGTACCTTGCAGCTTTGTAACGTGTTGTTTGCTTAATTTCTCCAAGTCAGTGAAAAAAACTGTATTTAACTGTTGAGAAGGGTGAAGGGAAGGGCCAAGAAATGGTCATGCGGGAGAAGCTCTGGTCAGAACCTGCTTTTATTACGTTACATTATGAGCTGATTTTACTTACTTTATATTTGCAAAATAATTAACTTTCTGATATTTATTGCAACAGCTTAATTTGCACACCCTGTACTCTATACAAAAGGATAATGTATAAAACATGAGAATTAAGTGTAAGTATAAATCGTGACCCTGATTCTTATAGCAAAACTTTAAATTGCCCAAATCTAAAAGCTAGGCTCTTAGAACTTTGCAACATCCGTGCCACAAGTACTTGAAAACCTTAAGGTTTCCTGTCGTTTTATATATACATATGTAAAAATAATCATTGTGCACCTTTGCTGGACCTGGATCCACAGACATTTGAGGTGATGGGAGCCTTCAAACGTCTGACCGGATTTACCGGCACGTGCCTTTTGCCTGTTGCGCTTGGGTTCAGTGAAATATTTAATCCAGAAACCATGTTTGGTTCATCATGGCCAGTTGTCGCTGTCCCCGAGCTCTCTCCCTTCCGCTCGCTGGCGGTGTCGGCAGGGCGTGCGCAGCCAGCGGTGCTTGTCCTCGTGGAGGCGGGCTGTTGCAGCTCCGGGGAGCGCTTCGCTGGCCGCAGGAAAGACGTTTTGTTTGTCTCACGCCCAGAAAATCCTCCTTCCGCAGCCCAGCGAAACGCGGGCTGAATCCCTCAGGCCCGAGCGAGTGCGCGTAGTCCCACTTGTTCAGTGGGACGCGAGTAATCCGTGTCAGGGCCCGCCACGCAGCTTTCGGTGGCGGGGTAGTAGAGCTGGGGAGGCAGGCGCCTGCCCCGGTGCGATCTGCTCCGTTTCTGTGTTCATTTAAACCCCACCGCCCACGAGGTTTTCCAGGTAACATTTCCTCTTCCTGCCAGTGAGTTTCTCTTGCACAGTTGTGTGAGTGCCCCCGAGGGAACTCTCCGGTTCAATCACGACACCTTCGAAGAGTGGGGAGCGCGGACTGGGTTGTCTCTGAGCGTGCAGGTGCACACACACTCCTGTGCTCACGTTCCCGCAGCCCGGGGGGCCCGATCATGGGCGGCTGTCAGTAAAACTTTTGAAAAGTGTTGTCATGCCAAACTGCAATTTTCTCTTACCGGTAAAGTGAAATTTAGGTCAATCACATGTCTTTGTTAAATACTTTTCTTTTAATGTCCTAAAGTTAGAACCTATTTCTAATTAGGTCAAAATCAATGTAAGTCGTGTGACTTACTTTGAACATCATGGATACGCCCTAAATTTACGTTTTAAGAAGCAGCACCATGAGAATTGTGGTGACCGTAACTGACTTTAGGAAGGTGGAAGTGAGCTGCGTGGGATGGCTTGGACATCGTGCTTCTGATGACGAAACGTACACATTCTTCTCACGAAAGGTCTGTTAAATGCTCATTTAAAAATTTTTTGTACCAAAATATTTGGAAACTGAGAAGCTTCTTTTTAACATGTATCGCTGTGACTTGAACTGTTATTTTCTAGGTTTAGAGCGCTTCACCGACGGCGCATCTTTTCATGTAGTGTCACCTAAGCTCTCGCTCCTGTCGTTACTGTTGTTAATTCACGGTGTGGTTACTACTTCGTTTTTCTTTGTAAGAATGCCGTCAGTGCGCATGCTTTTATGTTTTTCAGAAAAGGATGTGTTTGGTTAAGAGTCAGAGGGAAAATAAAATCTTCCACTGTCTCCGATGTCTGTGCTGTTTAACGTGCTGTGACCCAGAACTCCACCGCGGCCTTCTATTGCACGAAATAGGCCTTGTGGCTGGCCCTGCGTTCTGAATATGTAAAACTATAGTATCTTTTCTCAAGTACTGAGCAAGTTTTTCAGAAACACATTAAAATACTCAACATTACGAAGCAGTATATTAGTTTGGTTACATAAATGCATCTATATATTTTGTAAGAGGTGTCGCAAGTATAAATTGCTTAATTCTGTAATCATCAGGGTCTCTCACTGAAACACGTCAAATGCCTGAAATTAGCCAGGTGGGTGAGTGAACTGCCCATCTGACTGATCCTTGCATCGCACGTGCTGATGATTTCTTTCATGTTTCGTTTCCATGGGATTTGCCTTTCCTTTAACATGGGACCAATTTTCTTCATACCCAGATTAGGAAAGTTTTATTTTTTCCTTTGTAATGTTCCATGGCTTAGAATTATGTTCACCGAATAGGTCTATGTCAATAAAGTGATCTAAATAGATTGGCCATTAAAAAATGAAAAATGAAATACACCAAATATGGACGCAAAGTAACTGCCAGATTGTATCAGACTCACATCTAAGATGCAGTAATGTCTACTGTAGCAGTACTTTATGTGTGCAGTTGGGGATGTATAGTAAAAACAAATTTCAACTTCGATGACGTTTGTCCTTGATAGGTTGAGGAAGAGATTATCTTGGCAGATATTCCAGATGCCACCTTGTGGGAAGTTATGTATCTTAGTAAGTAGGACTGGCAGGGGGAAGTTTTTATCATGAGTTACATGTGCTTTTAGATGAAAGCCTGGCTGCGTTGGAATACTATGTTACCGTTTAGGTCAATTGGCATTATAAACAGACCAACTTAACCTCCACACCCAAGCATTAGAATGAAAATCAGTACTTGGTCAAACCGATATTTGGAAAGATTCAGATATTTGATATTAGGTAGGAAAAATATCCATGTAATTGACTAAATTGAACATTTTTATTCATATATTCTGGGCTGTTGTGTATACAACCACTAAGTTATTTCAGTTTAGAGTACTTATGACTTGACATCATCCCCCAGGTTTTGACACCTTGGGGATGATATAAGAAATTCATCGCTTTTATCATCTGGGGACCCAGTCTCCACGAGGTCAAGGAGACAAACACCTGGTTATTATTCTGAGCGGGATAAAAGCTACTTTTTCAGAAAGCCACTCCAGGTAGAAAGCTCAGTTACCTCTGCACTGAAGAAAATCTGCGTGGAGCAAACTCAGTGAACATTTATTGAAGGTAATGCGACAGGTCAGTCATTCTGTCCAAATTCATGATGTGAATATGTAAGAAAAACATGTTTTACAATTTTATTTTTATAAATATATCTTGAAAAAGGAGAAAAAAGCAAGATGCAACTGACATTTCCTTTGCGCCTAGCAGGAGAGAATGTCTGACTAACATTCTTGTCTCCTTATGGTATGTTCAGAATCAATTCTGACATATTCTCGAGTTTATCGGTGCTTCAGTAGTTCAGCAGCAAAAGAAAAATAGAAATCTCTAAAGTTAAGTATTTGGTGATATAGATGATGATAAAAGACCTACTTAGTGATAGTTATTTCATATCTATGTGAGAAGATGTTTATATGTTTTATATATGTATATGTCTCATTGCCAGTCATGGCTGCAGAACACTATATGATTTTGAAAGTTCCGTTTCTTTTGATACCGGCCAAGGTCTGTCGAGGGCATACTGTCTGTGGGACGGCACGTGTACCTCGGGCAGCTTCTCGCCCCATTCTCGTTCCGTTCCGGACCCCGAGCTGCGGTGGCCGGTCACTGAGCGTGACGAGCCCCAGCGCAGGCAGACTGCCAAGTTCGCGTCCCAGTTCTGCCTCTTGGTATTTGTGCCCCATGTTCTCATGGGAAGAACAGCGAAAGTAGCCGTGTTTGCCTCGGAGAGTTGCTGAGGACCCGGTGAGTGGCTGCATGAGTCTAGAGCAGGGACGTGGCAGGGGCTAAAAACACCACGGTCCCGACGTCACAGACGAGGGCGTCGCGGCTCAGAGAGTCTGAATGAAACACACGGTTGCCAGCCGAGCCTGGTAGCCAGAAACCGGCTCGCCCTTCCGCCCACAAAGCTGTGATGGGCCTCACAGCCACCTACGTGGCTTTAAGGGGGGACGGTCATACACATCCCAGCCGCTCCGTGCTGACCCCGAGCGCCGAAAATGTGCCTGTCCCCTGCGCTGGCAGCACGGAGTCCTCGCCGTGACAGGCGGGGCGCAGGGCGGGTTCAGAGCTCCTTCCTCGGCGTGGTGCGGGGCGATACTGGGAATCCGCCCACTGCAGGGCCCAGTGGGGCAGACTGGAGCAGTGCGTGCCACGTCACTGCACGTGTTTGCTCCTCGGCAGGCCACCTTCCCCGTCCGAGCCTGCCTTTATCTGTAAGGCGAGAAGACGTAGTCACCCCGCAGAGTGTAGTGAGAGTCAAAAGAGGTAATGGTTGTAAAAACGCGTCTGTGTAGCAGGTCCACCTACATGTGAGACATTGTTATCGTTCTTCCTAAGTCATTTCGGCGTCCCTCGCCGTCCCTAACGCGTCCCTAGGTCGCCGAGTTCATTTTGTAATGAGTGGTGGTCGTTGACGTTTGACTTTCTAGTTGAGAGTCAGGTGCAGTTGCTCGTAGCCCAGCTGTTGTCCCTTTTAAAGATGTCTGTGGTTGTGGCTAAGGTGCTGTCCCAAGGCACTCAACTGCAGGTGGCACGGTGCGCCCACCCCTGCTCACTGCTCGCCCGTGGGGGTGGGGGCCAAAGGGCCCGGCACAGCCAGGGATGTTAGGTGAGGACAGCCTCACTGCCATCCTGTAAGGACTGGTCACTGTGCCCCAGGCGGAGCGTGGTCACCCCACCACGCCCCGCGTTCGGAGGTGGCGGGCCACGTGCTGATGCTTGGGCCCATGTGGCCGAGAGCTGTGCCTGACGCATCCATCGCGGCCTGTTCTTTATGGCAGGTGACTGTCACCCAGGCAGAACAGGTGCCGCTCCCACTTAGGTGAGCTCAGGGATGCTGGCACATCAGGGTCCCTCCCCGACGACACTGTGTGTCTCCAGGTAACGGCTTCGTGCCGTCGAGATGGTAGAAACGGGGTTCTCTGTAGCTCATTCCATCTGTTATGTTTCTGGTTTGGGGAGGAGAGGCTGGGTGTAAGTGGACGATGGGGTCGGAGCACAGATTCCCAGGCTGGGTGCTGGGGTGCGACCCCTCCTGGGCCTTGCCAGCTGAACGGCCTTGGCACCGTTCCTAACCTCTGTGCCTCGGCTCCTAATTCTGAAAGAGATGATCACGAGAGGACCTGCCTCGTAGGCCTGGTGCGAGGACGAGATGGAAACCTATCTAAAGGACCGAGACTGTGCGCTCAATGTCGGCTGCTGTATTATTGCTGGTGCCGTGACGGTTCTGTGCCACCGTGCGCTGGCAAGGACACCTGTCCCCGGAAGTCCGGTGTCCGGTCGGGAGCCCAGCTCTGTAAAATCCCGCTACACTTGTGCCTCTTCCTGAAAACCGCCGCGAGGACCGTGTCCACACACCTGCCCATTAGTGGATCCTGCGTTACTCGACGGCTACTAACGATTTTGTTTGAGGGGTTTGGTGTGTTGATCTAATCTGGCACGTGACAGGCACAGGCATGACGCTGTGACATGAAATAAAGCATATTAAAAAAAAATCAATGCCAAACATCGTGTCCCTCCCCTTGTGTGCTAATCTTTATTTTTTTGTCTCTGTATTTCAGCCTCTCCGCGTGTCCCTCCCCTTGTGTGCTAATCTTTATTTTTAAGGGTCTAGAAGTCGAGATACAGGATTTTTAGATCAGAAATCCAATGCAGAGCATCCCTGCAAAGCCCCTTTGTCCCTGGAACTGCCCGGCTCGGGGACTTCTGGCTCGGGGGCTCCTAGCGCGCCCTTGGGCCTCACCCTCTCTGGCTTTCTAACTCCCCTGTAGAGCCGCTTCGCTTCCTGCTTTATTACTGACTGTGTTGGCTCCGACCTCACAAAAGAGGCAATGCGCTTAACCCGAACGTCGCCTCCAGGCAGTGTAGGGCACGAGAACATTAGTCTGAGGGTCGGGAGACCTGGAGCTGGGGCCAGGTTCCAAACACGTGGCAGCAGGCCTCTCTCTCTGGACCTCAGTCTTCTGTTCCATGGCGCTGAGTCACACAGCTGCCAACACTTGGCACCTCCCAGTCTGTGGTCCAGCATTTCCCTAAAATTCCCAGGGTCCCTCCCAGCCCCCGGGGGCTGATGCACAGGGCCACCTTCAGCCACACCTTCCACCTGTCTCCCTGGGCGGGTCTACCTGATGGCCTCTCCCTCCTGTCTCCATCAGCTTCCTGTCTTCACTCCCCGGCCAGCCCCTGACCACCCAGCCCCGCCCAGCTTCCAGTTTGCCTCCTGGAGCGAGTGAGTCCCAGCCCATCCCCCGTGCCCCCAGCTCTCCCTGCGCTAGAAAGCCCTGGAAAGGTGGAATGCGCTGTGAGCGTAAAATGCATACAGACCTTTAAACATCAGTACAAACAATAGAAAATAGTTCGCTAATCTTTATATCGATTCCATATTGTGGTGATAATATGGGTATATCATGCTCAATAAAAATACTAAAATTGACTTCACCTGTTTTACTTGTTAAAATGTGGCTACTAGAAAGTTAAGAGTTAAGTATGTGTCTGGCAATGCATTTCAGTTGCGCAGACCTTGTCTACAAGGGCAGGGACTTCTGCCCTGACTTTTGGGCCTGAGCCTCTCCCACAATCCCCGGCACACAGGAGGCGCCCAGCGGGGTTTGGCTCATTCAGTTTCACGGTTAGCGTAATCATTGCGATATTAGATTAAATACCAGCCGACGGTTTTCTAAGTTATGTTGTAATTTTATAGTCTGAAATCAAAACATTTATTTTAAAAAGTAAAGGGTTTTTAATAATATTTATTAAATGTTTAACAAGGGACAGG